ACTAAGAGGTACATGGCTTCCATGCGAAGCAAGTTTCTCCCATCTCGCTAAGTTGCTTTCTCGCAAGTTGTATGTTCTAAAAACACAAAAATTATATAAGAAAATATTTTGCGTTGTTAAAGCAGGGAATTTGTTTCATGGAGCGCAGTTGTGTCCAAAAGTTAGGTTTTATTGATAAACTTTTTTTGTTAATAGTTTTTTTAACGAATAAGGATGACTAAAACCTGGTGGAGATCACTCAGAGTCATGACCTTGACAACATATGTCAGTCAAGGTCATCGAAACTGCCTCCCCTATTCGACATATTTAGCCTTTACTTTTGTAATGACATACATGCTCTGTTAAAAACAAAAATGTGTTCCAAATTTGAGAAGTTATGAATCATATGTCCTACTATTCAGTTACTTAATTATACAGCAGGCTTATCAAATATAATTAATACAAATATGTATTCTTTTCTTGTTTTAAAAATTCATATTTTACAAGTGAATTTTCCCAAGTCTGTCACTCTGATTTCAAGATGAAACTATGATTTTAATTTCGCCTTTACCAGTAAAGTATCCATGCTTTGCAACACAAGTCAATCACAGTCAAAGTTATTGTTCTTTGATATGCTATCAAGTAAGAGGAATGTCATGTTAGGAGAAAAAAGCACATACGGAGTATTTCAATTTATTTATTTATATGTAAACTAACAAAAAATAATAGTTAACATTTTTATTACACGCTTGCATAAATTGCTAAGCAATAACGAATTAAAATTCAAGATCTATTATATTAAACAAGCAATGTTAAGATGACTGATAAACAAAAACATGTTTTATTATTCTACGATGACATTTTTATAGAATGTTTTTTTTTATAGTGTCAAGCAAACAAAATCTGACAATACCAAGACTATTTTATTACAAGTCAGTGTTCGTCTATCGGTAAAGTAACATACATTTTTAACACATATCTCAATGTTTTAAATATTTTTATAATAATTTTTATCTATTACATCGTTAATTTTATATTGTGACTAATTTTTCATTACAATATTGGTATTAATTTCGCCATAAACTAACGCATTGATGCTGAATAATTTAATAATTGACAAGCATCTTCTCATGCAAAATTTAAAAATATATGGCCAATTAGATGAGTCATTTTACCAGAGTACGCTTTTACTCGAATTTTTCTTTTTCTTTTAATTTGTTTCTAACTTGATTTTTCACCAGAAAATTTTCATCAGGAAATTTTAAACAATCGGTTCAGCCGTTTTGCGAATAATTTCCGTTTTTCTACAAAATATCTCTTTGGTCTTCATTATGTTCATAATTTTATCTATGTCTTCGACTGCGTTCAATCAATGTAACATCACCTGTTCATATACGACTTTCACATATCTGAGGAAGACTCAATCGTGAGACCAAAACATGTTTTATATATATAATATATATGTATATATATAAAGAAAACGGCGACACTCATTTATTCGAGTCGTCATTTTATTTAATTTGAATCTGCCGCGTTACTGACAGTTATCGATCGAGATTATCGAATCGCAGACGACAATACGATGACTAGAGAAGGAGAATGATAATCTAACTGAGACCGTGGATGTGAATTTTCGAAGTGAATAATTGAGAACCTTAGCATCACCTGAAGTAAAAACTTTTAATGTTGTTTTCTGTTTTATTGCAGGTAATGTTACTTTTGGTATTTTGTGCAAATATTGTAAACAGGATAGAATAAATTGAAACTGTTTTATTGCAGAAACCCAACAGGTTTTTATTTTAACCACGAGAATATTATTAGTATAGTTCTGTTATAGAACTATAACCATCCATTACATATATATATTAGGTGTAGTAAAAAGTCATCGTGTATTTTTTAGCTCAAAGTTGTATATACAATATCTTCGTCAATAATGAATAAAATTCCAATTTAAAAAAGGTTTTAAAGCTTGAAATCTCTACTTTTAAAAGCTTATCACATTTTTTAAGTTTATATGAGTTTGATAATTTTTACATACCAAAAACTACGAGCTGAAAAAGACGAAAAATTTTCTTCTCACTTTGTGGATTTGTAACGTGTCCAAAACGAATTTGAGAAAATTTTCGATTACATATCGTGAAAGCTTGATACTTTCCCTACAAAATCGTTTTTTTTAAATATTCCTACGACTTTTGATTACTGAGTTATCGCGGATTAAATAAAAGAATTATTTTGA